ATTAAAATTACAATATAATTAAAAAAGTGTAAAACAGAAGATCAATGAACTTTTATCTATTATTATAACTTATTGGTGTCTTATGCAGTTATTTGGATTACCAACATGCTGTTTTTACATAAAATAAGCCATTTTAAATATCAAATGCTGAGCCCAAACTTTAAGCCCAATTATTAGTGTGTTAAATAATTGTTTTGTAAAATGTCAACACAGTTAATAATACATGCAAATCCAATTAGTAAAACCTTTTATTTTTTCTAATACGTGAACTAAGAATAATAGGAATTTTTTTTTTATTCAATAGAATGATATAAAAAATTCAATAGAATAAAATGGTTTTTTTTAAAATATAATATTTCAAAAAAACATCTAGTGGGGTGCGTGCATGACACAACTTTTACTTACCACCCTACTTTTACTAGAAATAGGTATTTTCAGATGTAGAAAAGTGAAAGTTTATAAAAATACAGATGGTACACCATACTATTGAAAACATTTAATTACCATGTTTTTCCCAACCATCTAATGTATTACCTTTATACGTTTTTTGTCACTAGCCATGTCCTTTTATGACTATATATTTTAATTATTTATTTAATTTAATATAATTAAGTTCCACAACATTATATTAGTTCAACAAGAGTTATAGCGATAAAGAAGGCTGCTAAATTTATTTATATTTCAATTCATTTCAATTTATATTATGTTTAACCACTACTAATATGTATACAAATTTTAATTTTTATATTGCTGTAATCTACACAATTTAGTATTAAATAATACCAACACTAGCATTTATGAAAACCGCACATGTATATTTATACATGGATTACTATCAAAGCCCATGTTATATTAAGCACATGGTATGTTTAGAAGTCTATCCTAACATTTTGACCAAGCTCGGGTTTCCCCAGTCCCACATTAACATCCATTTTTCTCCTTGAGTGATTCATCAAATTCTTTCATAATTTCTAATTAATCATTTTTTATTCTTGGCTCTAATATGAAATGGTTCATTATTTCAAATATACAAAATCAGAGGTGCTTTAAAGGAAGAAATTTTGAAAATTCACCATTTAAGCCCTGTCAGTTTTATTAAAAATCCCTTAAATTAAAAACCACTTAATTATACATTGACCTAAATTATAATCATTGGAGCCATTTCCGAGAAAATTGTAAAAATATATAAAATCAATTATACAGGGTGTCCTATAAGTAGAGGGAAATATTTAAAGAAGTGAAAGCAGACCTTAAGAGCTACAAAAAAGTTTGTATAAACAATGTTCCAATTATCCGTTCTGTTAAAAAAAAAATCATGAATTGTGCAACTTTTTTTTATAATTCTCCAAGTAAACTACAGATACCTCATTTTAAGAAGAAATTCCTTGTTTAATATACTTTAATAGTAATTAATTTGAGGTTTCTTATGAAATAAGTTGAGATACACCTCAATTTGTGAAAAAAAATAATGTGATTTGATATTCTATCACCTAAAATTGCCCGTGTTTTCTGTAAAAATAACAACAATAAATTATTGCAAAGCTTTAATTTATTTTATTTTTTTATGACCTGGGATATATTATAATAAACATGATTGCATAAATATACTGTTTATTTATAACGAAAGAAAAAGTTAACAATAAAGATTTTTCATAAAATTAATAATAAAGATAGGTATATATATGCCTTAGATATTACAGCAACTTTTTTCTTAAAATCGGCTTATCGGAAGTGCCACTTTATATCAACAGTGAAACACATTTTTACAATTTTCTCAAAAACGGCTCCAACAATTTTGATTAAACTTGGTGTATCATTGTATAATTAAGTGGTCTTTAATGTCATTTTGGTCTTATCCCCACTGATGTCCCTTTACAGGGCTTAAATGCCCAATGTTCATATGTGTCTTCCTCTAAAGTACCTTTAATATGGTTTATTTTAAAGAATTAACTCTCTTTTATTGACAGTAACTATAAAAAATAGCTAAATATGAAGTTTGAAAGAATAGGATATTTGGAAACTGGAGAAAAAAGCTTATCCAGGCTAAAAATTTATCTCCGGAAATAACAGTCAGAAGGTATACATATAATATATCATTGGAAAGTGGAGAATTTTAGAAAAAATAATATCAAATAAATAAAGTTGTAGATGGTAATGGAGATTGACGGAAAAAATATAAATAAAATTTCAGAAAACTAACATTATTAACGTAAATCACATGTTTTAAAGGAAATTTTCTTACTAAATGTAAACTTTCAAATTTTTTTCTGAGTTTGAAAAAAAAAAATTTAAAAACCACCGAATCAAGCCAATGCCATTGTTTAAAATACTATTTCATTGTATGTATGTGAAAGAAGAAGTGAAACAAAAATATTTCATATTGAATATTTAATAGTTGACCATTGCATTATAAAGGAAGGAGATGGTCCGGGGTTGCGATCATAAATAGGCTAAATAGTGGTAAAACTATTTTATTGAAAGCCAACGTTTCGACCCGACTTTGCAGGTCTTCATCCGGGCTAGAATGGAGAAGATACAAAAAGATATAGAATTGTGGCAATTACATAATATTTAGACATAATTTATAAACAATGTGAATAAGCTTATTAAAATTATAAACAGTAAGTACAATAAAATATGGACTAAGTAAGCTGTGTAACAAGATCCTAAACTGAAGTAAATAGATGCTAACAATTGTTGTAGTGTAATATATAATAAATGAAAATGTGAATATACTTTTACAAAATCTACAGGAGAGAAATAAAATTAGAGACTTACAGGTGTGTTCATCTAGGAGTTTCTCTTAGAACTGGAAAGGCAGCGGTAAGGATAGCAGGTATAGGGGAAGCTAACATGTGTTAACTAAGTAAACTTTGAAAAACCCAGGAAATTACAGTATCTAAAAATTTTGAAGATATGGATGGATACAATGGAAAAATACTATATCTATGAAATATTAAATTATAAATATACATATAAAATAGAGTTGAGAGATGTGAGAGGTATTTCATGATTCTAGATCAGAGTACAATGTGAATATACCCAAAATTGGCAAAAGTAAAATATAAATATAGAAATAACTTCATTTACATACATGCATTGCAGAGCTAACTTAAAAGTATAGAGAAGGAAAAAATTAATACTTATAATTATATTTGGTTGTACATATGTTAGAAAATTACATTTGAATATTAGATAATGAGACATGGTTAATAAGTAAAATTAATACTAAGTGGAAAAAGGATGATCATACATTGGTGTAGAGTGTAAATAACTTAAATATTCTATTCTAATATTTTCATCTACTCTCAATTTTTATTAATTAATTCATTTAATTGCTCATTATTCTAAATATTCCTTCTTTGTATGATCTCTCTTCTATTTTATTCTAAATTTACATTTACACTCTACTCCTAGATGAACACACCTGTAAGTCTCTAATTTTATTTCTCTCCTGTAGATTTTGTAAAAGTATATTCACATTTTCATTTATTATATATTACACTACAACAATTGTTAGCATCTATTTACTTCAGTTTAGGATCTTGTTACACAGCTTACTTAGTCCATATTTTATTGTACTTACTGTTTATAATTTTAATAAGCTTATTCACATTGTTTATAAATTATGTCTAAATATTATGTAATTGCCACAATTCTATATCTTTTTGTATCTTCTCCGTTCTAGCCCTGATGAAGACCTGCAAAGTCGGGTCGAAACGTTTTCTTTCAATAAAATAGTTTTACCACTATTTAGCCTATTTATGACCGCAACCCCGGACCATCTCTTTCCTTTAAAAATATTTCATAGATATGTTTATAACCTTAAATACATTTACTGTGGATTAATAACTCTAGATATGATATTGTATTTAAGTAATTAGGTATTTATTGGCCATTTATTCCAAAAAATCATCTTAACCTTTTAGAAAATTAAATTAGTGAATAATTTGATGAATTTTCCTGTTGTGAAGTCCCAACATTATCCACTTACTTTTAGTGGGACAACTTTTGACCTATCCATGGCAGGCAATTAAAATCTTGTAATTTCATTTTAGGAAACTTTACAATGGAAAATAACAGTTTAATAACTATTAGTCTTACAATCCATAATCATTTATCGGTTAAATATTCAGATATACTTTCAAATCTCTCTAGGCATATATGAGCCTTTCGGTCGACAGAATGACTAACTCCAATTTTAACATTCTTTATTATTAATTTTAGTGATGTTTCTAGTGGAAAAATTTATACCTTTATTCACAGTTCTATATTTCAATAGTGCAATCACCTACTCTGGAACCAACTTACTCACTGTATGTATAGATATAACTTTTTCAAATAGAAATATCACTGAACTGGCATTACTCAAAAATGTTGAAATTGGAGTTAGTCATTCTGTCAACTGAGAGGTTCAGAGACTGAATTTGTGTGATTTATAAAAGCAGATGGAGTAACTAGAGTTTTATTGCCTACCGTTGCTATAATAAATAGACTTTTTGTAATTTTAATGGTCTAAATGATTTTTATCAGTAAGCTTTAAGCTTTAAATCAGTTTAAAATGCACTTCAAAAATTTTATAATGCCCCAACATTACCAGAAAATAATTTCTATTCAAAGTAGAGTGGTAAGTGAAAGTTGTGTGTTGCGAGCATCAGATTTTTTTTTTTTAGAAATGTTAATTAACAAACCTTAAATAAGTTATATTAGTTTCATTCGACTTTTTGTTTTTGAGCTAGAATGTTCACATACACAAAGACCATTTTGCGAGCCTTAATAATTTAGACTCAGGAGACCTTAAACAGTATTTTTTTATATCAAACAACAACATGAACTGTTATTGAACTTCATTTGAATTTCATTTTAGTATATTTAAATTTTTATTGGAACAAACAGTTGCATTCATTATTTTTTAGTTAAAGTATTTATACAAATATTTTTATATTATGTTAATATTATAAGTTTTATAAATAATGAGCAATGCTTTTTATTATTTTAAGAATAAGTTTAATGCTCGTTCTCGAGGGTGGACTGAAGTATGTGATCAACCTGCTGAAAGGCCAAGAATTCGTTTGCGCAAAGAACATTCTGTCACATTAGGAGATCTTACAACTTGGCCTGGGCCTCGAAATAATACTTGGTTCAGTGATATGTTAACTGTTTCATTGGCAAATATCAATTTATCTATGAACATTAGTACACTATCTTCTATAGCAGAATTTTCTGTTGATGATGCTGTTTCACCATGTCTTCCAGTTCAGGTGAATAAAGCTAACTTTTATTAATATATTTATGTTTTGAATCTTGTTTTTCGGACCTTGTAATTATTATTTATAATTTTTATATATATATATCATTATTTTTAAAAATATTTTCAGCTTAATTTAGAAGATTTAGAATTATCAATAATTGATGATAGACCATCGTTACAAGGGGGAAGTAATAACCCTTCATTCATTCAAATTTCTAAATTAAGGGTATTTAAAACAAAAGAAGGAACAATTAATGTGGAACCGCCTGAAACTGAAACATCAAGTCTTATTTCTTCTGAAGAAGTTAGTTTAAAGCTAGAAAATGAGCAGCTTCGGAGGCGCTTGACTGCCATGGAAAGGTTGAATGAAGAAAATCATAGGTTAAGAAAGTGTGAAGAGGAAGCACAGTTGCTTAGGTAACTATTATCTTTCGTTAAAAATTAAAGTTTAAATATGAGCTTATTTAATCAATATTTCATTCCTTATATTAAACACATTCATTGTTTTATATATTTCTTCTCCACAACCTTGTCTTAAATCAATAGAATATAATATTCAATAAAATGCAATAGGTCAATTAAAAAAAAAATACACTAGTAATCTGTAGCATTTTTATTTCTATTTCTGTGTTTCAAGGATGCGCTGTGCCTATTTTTACGTCTAATTTGATCTAGTATTGGACGAGTCTTTCTAAAGGTACTATTTTGCTGGTACGAAATTTAAAGACCAGGATCTATAAAACCATTATCCTACCTACAGTTCTTTATGGATGCAAAACATGGCCGCTTACATTAAGGGATGAGCAGTGCCTTAAGGTTTTTGAAAATAAAGTATTGCGTAGAATATTCGGACCGAAGTAAGATGAGTTAACCGGAGAGTTCAGAAGGTTGCACAACGCCGAATTGTGTGAACTGTATCCAGTTAATATAATTGAGGTATTTCCATCGCGGTGAATCAAATGGACTTGGAAAATTGTTGGGCTTAGTAACGAAATAATTCCTAAAACGTTGATATTTGCTGTACCGAATGGTAAACATCCGAGGGGTAGACCGAATTGTAGGTGGCAAGATTGCGTTAAAGCCGATCTGAAGGGACTGGCTTTGGATGGCGAATGGTGGAGGGAGGTGTGGAATAAGCGATTGGTGGTGTTGGCATTGAACCTTCGGGTTCGCTAAGCCTTTTATTATTATTATCGAGTTCGGCTCAAGCTGTTGATAGTCACACATCGGTTCCACGTTAAAGTAAATTATGATAGGCAAAAGTTTGTCTATTCATGCTGGAGATTTACAAGTGGACCAAGCCCTATACTGGAGAGAAGCTTCAGAGATCTGGGAAAAATCGAGTAAGGATTTTTGACAAGAGCAAAAGGTAAAAAAATTGGTGTGCTTGAGAAACCAGGCTGCTTATCTAGTGCAGCTAGAGACCTGACTTTCCCCACCACACCAGCCAAGATATCTCCAGGAAGGTCAGTGTCATCTAAACAGTTCAATGTAATCAATCTAGCTATCATCGAAGGAGCCTTGTTGTCGATTGATTTATTTGTTTATTAGATTCCTTGTTTTGTTTTTTTTCTCTTCATCTTTTAAGAATGCATGTACTTCTGTAGTTATGAATATATATTTGTTTGACTACTATTGTGACGCACTGATACATACATCATCTGTATATCTATTTAAATATTTTTCTAAATCTATTTATATAATTTTAACTTATTCAAATTAATTAATTCATGTATATATATATATATATATATATATATATATATATACTTTAAATATTATTAATCTATTTATTTAGTTTTAGCCTTCTGATACTATTTGATCTGCATTTTAATTTTTAATTTATTTATATAACTTTAACTTATTATTTTTATTTTAATTAATTCACGTATATATTTTTAATCTATTTATTTAATTTTAGCTTATTGACACTATTTATATTTTTATCTATTTATATCTTATTTATGTTTTAAAACTATTTATATAATTTTAACTCATTCACTTTAATTAATCTATGTATATATTTTTAACCTATTTATTGAATTTTAACGTGCTGACATTTTTTAACCTTTTGTATATGTTTTTAATGTATTTATTTAGTTTTAATTTACTAACATACTTTTATCTGGGCATATATTTTTTAAAATTATTTATTTATTTTTAACATATAGACATAATTTTAACCTACTTGTATGCGTATATACTGATATGTTTGTGTGATGACTCGGATCTATATCATTCTAGAGGAGTTAATGTAGGTCAGGAAATATGGGTTCTGAGATCAGAAGGCCCCGCCCAAGAAGCATTGGTGGCCTCTGTGATGTCTGTGGTCGCAGCGGGAGGCGCTGATAAAATGCTGATCAGGGTGGAGCGTCAGGGCGAAGAAGGCCAAGTATTGGGCAAAACAGTTTCAATAAACGATGTATTTCAATCTGGCCAGATACAGCTATCTATGAACATCGCTATAATTCTCGTATATCAACCCAGTTTTTCTTTATTTTAATCTTCGCTGCAGTTCATCTTAAGTTCAGTTTTTTTTTTCCTAGAACATTATTAGTTCTGATTCATGTGACGTATATCTAATTTTATCAGCTGATGCGAAGGTTGTCTCCTCAACTCCTCTCTCAGTTTTTGCCAATTTTATAGCGGAATCTCTCTGATTATTCACGTAATACAGTTAAAGTGTATATCAGAGCAGTTTTTCTTTATTTTAATCTTCGCTGCAGTTCATCTTAAGTTCAGTTTTTTTTTTCCTAGAACATTATTAGTTCTGATTCATGTGACGTATATCTAATTTTATCAGCTGATGCGAAGGTTGTCTCCTCAACTCCTCTCTCAGTTTTTGCCAATTTTATAGCGGAATCTCTCTGATTATTCACGTAATACAGTTAAAGTGTATATCAGAGCAGTTGATATTTACTGTTGACATCTTTTTTTTTGTTATTTAACGAAAAAAAAAAAAAAATTTTTTTTTATTTATTTATTTTTTTCCGGTTACTCTTGCATCAGCGTATTGCCCTCCTAACCGATCCTTATCCAATGTCCAATTCAGTTCTCTCCTCGACTCCTTAGGACATCACTTCATCTTGGGTGCAGACCTAAATGCCAAGCACCAACAATGGGGTTCCAGAACCACGAATTCTCGTCGCCGAACCCTGCTGTCTGCACTCAATTCCCAACGTTTTCACCTCCTTTTCCCCAACTCTCCTACCTACTGGCCCACAGATCCCAACCGTAATCCTGATCTTCTTGATTTCTTTATCCACAGCGGCTTAAGTCCCCTCAATTGTTCCATTACACGTCTAAATGAACTTTCCTCTGACCATAGTCCTCTAATCCTTAATGTTTCACTTGAACCTGTTCCCAAACCTTCTCCACCGTCATTCATTAGGGGCCCAGTAAACTGGGACCTTTTCCGCCAAATAATCTCCGATAATATTGATCTCAACATATCCCTCAAAACTCCCGATGACCTTGATAGTGCCGTAAATTCCTTTACTACCACAATCCAACAAGCCGCCTGGACTGCCTCCTTCCCAAAAGACTCCTCCAGAATTCCTATAAAGACCATTCTACCCCAACACCTCCTTAACCTAATCCGCACCAAACGCCGTGCCAGATTATTATGGCAACGTACCCGACATCCTACCGACCGCTGCTCCTATAATTACTACTGCAAACAATTAAAACTGGAATTAGCCACCTTCAGATCACAATCCTTCAACTCCTACCTATCCTCCCTCTCTTCTCGCGACAATTCCCTTTGGAAAACCACAACAAAAATCCTAAATCCTCACCGCATTTCCCATCCTCTCCGACGAGGTGATGGCTCCTGGGCAGCATCTGACGAAGATAAAGCTGAGGAGTTCGCCATTCACCTATCCAATACATTTATTTCACATCCGGAATCCCATCCTGCCCACACCGTAACAGTAGAAGAACTCCTTACATCACCAATCCCACTTTCCTTGCCCCCAAAAGCTATTCATCCTTCCGAAGTAAAATTTCAATTAAAAAAACTAATCCTCCGTAAAGCTCCTGGACATGATCTCCTTACACCTCAAATCCTTCGACAACTTCCATCCAAAGCAGTCATATTCCTTACATATATCTACAATTGTATCCTACGCACCACCCACTTCCCTCTGTTATGGAAACACTCCACTATTATCCTTTTCCCAAAACCAGGAAAACCTCTCAATAGCTCAACATCCTATAGACCAATCAGCCTACTCCCAATCCTTTCAAAAATTTTTGAAAAGATCCTTTTGAAACGAATCCTACCCATTATAGAATCCCAAAATATCCCTTCCCATCAGTTTGGTTTTCGCTCTCAACATTCTACTGTTCAACAAGGACTCCGAGTTGTTGATCATATTTCCTCAGCCCTAGAAAACAAGGAATACTGTTCGGGTGCCTTTCTGGACATTGCACAGGCATTTGACCGGGTATGGCACTCCGGACTGCTCTCCAAGCTTAAAATCCATTTACCTCAGTCCTTGTACCTAGTCCTCCGATCCTACCTCTCTGACCGCTCCTTTCGAGTTCGCTGTGGAACAGAATTTTCCAATATCTACTCCGTTAAAGCCGGTGTTCCCCAAGGCAGCGTCTTGGGTCCCGTGCTTTACATCCTCTTTACTGCTGACATCCCTGTTCATCCCGATACTTTTCTTGCAACATTCGCTGACGACACCGCAATCTTATCATCCAACTCTGATCCCGAAATAGCATCCTTAAATCTCCAAAGTCACCTCACCTTGATTGAGCACTGGTGTAATAACTGGCGCATTAAAGTTAATGAATCTAAATGCCAACATATTACCTTTACACTCCGACGCAATTCCTGTCCACCAGTACTCTTTAATTCCATCCAGCTTCCTTATTCAGACACAGTCCGGTATCTTGGCTTTCATTTAGACCGAAGACTAACTTGGAACCCGCATACTAGACTCAAAAGACAAGAACTCAACCGACGATACGGCCAACTATACCGACTACTAAGCAGAAAATCTAAACTTTCCATTGAAAACAAGCTACTGATCTACAAGACAATACTGAAACCTATTTGGACTTACGGACTAGAACTGTGGGGATCAGCAAAATTTTCTAACATCAAGCGCATCCAATCCTTCCAGTCTAAAGTCCTTCGAACAATAGTCGATGCTCCTTTCTATGTATCCAACAAAACCCTACATCATGACCTTAACATCCCATTTGTCCTAGACCTTATCCCAGAAAAATTCTCCAAATTTCACCAGAACCTTACTTACCACCCAAATCCTCTTGCACAATCCCTATCAAGCATCTCCCATCCCTATAATCCTCCAAGAAGGTTGATACGGCAGTGGCCTCGCGACCTTTTGTAGATTGTATAAATTGGAGTTCTGGCAATGGCCAGATTCTTCACTCAAGACATG